GACTCCGCGGGCCCCCCTCGTCATCACCGCGGGCGGAGGCCTTAGCGACTTGGGCGTCCCGTACAACATCGCCGGCGGCGGCGGGGGGGGGGGTATGGCCAGACCAACGGTGATGTCTCGCCCTGCGGCAGGGAGGCAGGGATCCGGCGATTCGCTGTTAGGGGGGGCGGGGGGAGGGGAGTCATCGGCGGCAGCGGCGGCGGCGGCGGCGGCGGTGGTGGCAGCGGTGACGGCAGCGGCGGTGGTGGCTGGGCCTTCTCCTGCGGTGTCGCGGTCTAGTAGCGCGGGCTTGATTCCGGGAGTTGGGCCGGCGGCGGCGGCGGCGGTGAGTGTGGGGGACACGCACGGAGACTTGAGGGGGGAGGTAATCTTAGCCGTGCATGGCGTAGTCGTTAGGCCTTTGACATGGGGGGGGGGGAGGTTGTACTCATAGCCGTGCATGCCGTAGTTGTTAGATTAGACCATTGAGATCGCATCCCTACAAAGCCGGGACGGAGCACGCCGGGTTCTCACCGGACCAGTGTCGTGGGGAGGGGGGGGGTGGTAATGTAGAAGCATGCCGTGGTAATCATTGGTGATCATAGACCATATACCTCGCATCCCCACGATGATGCCGAGACGGGGCGATATGCCTTCCGGGTTTTCACCGACCCAAGGTTACGTTTCATAAGGATGAAGTGGGGGGGCGATTTGTGGGTGTCCCTCTCTTATCCTTAAGTCGTGCCTTTTTTCTGCGTATTTATTTTTTCTTTAGGTGAAGGGGGGTGCGGCTGGGGGAGACGAGCATACCCCCGCGTTCGACCCCGACCGAATGCTCCTCGGGAGCTTCAATAGCGACGAGGCGTTTGCGGAGGTGGGCCCCGCGGGTGCCCCAGCTTCTTCTGCTGCTGCGGCTGCTGCCGTGGGAATGGGGGGGGCAGGCGCGTGGTCTGGTGGCTTTGACGGCGGTCTGTCGACCACGGATGTCGTCGTCGAGTGGTGGGTTTTTCTCTTCCTCTTCTGTCCGGTCATGTCTGTTCGTCGCTCGCTTGATCGTTCTATAGTGGAAGACTGCGACAACCGCCTGTTGATTAAGGATGATTGTTGTTGTGTCCGTCGTAGCTGGTTTTGTTGTGGACATTGTTGTTGCTGCTGCTGCTGCTGCTGCTGCTGCTGCTGCTGTTGTTTGTTGTTGTTTGTTGCTGTTGTTGATATTTCCGCGCGGTCAAGTCTGGCAACCTCGTCCCGCGGCAACGAAAAGTAGGGTACAACAGCCGGATGAAGATTCCTGCTTGATGCACCCCCCGATCTGGTGTCGAAAACCGCGAGCGTCGGTGTGCGCTGCCGACCTCTCGCATCGAGATGGATATTGATACACATTCCACCGTCGAGACTGGTTGCGCGTTACGGTACGCTAAGGAAACCGAGTAGAAAAATGGTTGTTGTAATACAAAACACAATTCACAATTGCGCATTGAGCAAGTAACAATCGCGCTTTGAGAAATGTACTCGACAATGAACTCGGGTTTCGGGTTTGATGGTATGTATCTTTCTTGCGATGCGAAAGGTACCAAGTGATGCTGGGGAGGCTTAGGTGCTTGGATGCGCTGGGAGAGCACCGGAAGGTGCTGGAGAGCTCCATCGCGCTCTGGAAAAATTTGCAGGCAAGCGAGAGAGAGAGACAGAGACAGAGACAGAGACAGAGACAGAGACAGAGACAGAGACAGAGACATGTTTGCTTTTTTTTTTACTCTGCTTTGGTTTCTGTTTGTACTTGACAACTGCAGGCCAACTGAAAATAACCTTCGTTTCCCCTTGCCGACGACGCCCAAAAGACTATCCAGAATAGAAATACCCCCCGCACCGGTTTTGAACGATTGGCCATCGGTGATCGGTCCTGTGGGAACAATGCTCCGTCCTCTCGAGGACGCGTGGTCAATGGTCTAACCGCTAAGGCATGCAAAACATAAGAGTACGCCCCCCCCTCCCCCGGTGCGGGAGTAGCGCCGCTAGCCCTATCCTACCGAGAGGGACCTGTGTAGCCTCTGACCCCGGTTTTCCTCATGCTTGCCGGCGTCTCGTCTCTTGTGCGCGCATGGCTCGTAACGGCCTTCTTTTTGGATTTGGACGAGAGAGCAGGAGGACTGGGCGAGGGTGGGAGTTGGTAGAGAGCCGGCCGGCGGTTTCTCGACGGTGGCGGCCGGGGCCAGAGGACCGCGCGCGCCTAAGGTTTGTGGTTTTGTTTTGTGTTGTGGTGGCACCCGCGTGTGCTTCCCATGATATCGTACCATAGCCTTGTTTTTTTGTATTTGCGGATGGTACACCCACGTCTCGTGATTTCGCGGAGCCCCCTCGGTGAGGTCTTGGCAGTATGTAGTCCCGTCGAATTCTGCTCGGTGTATCTTTGCGTGTTGCTCTACCTCCTCCTCCCCCGCGAGGTTGCTCCGTACTGCCGAGAACGCGTGGCCAATGGTCTATAAATATCATGAGTACACGCTAATGTTGATACATGTTTCTCTTGTTATTTCCACTGTGCGCGGCGGCGGCGGCGGCGGCTGCGGCGGCGCTTGTTTGTTTGTTTGTTTGTTTGTTTGTTTTTCTCCCTGGCTGGGTTCGTTCGTCTTTGATCCTTGCGGACCACCACCAGAGGTCACCGCTCGCGTCTCTGGTCTCCGTTTCCCGCCCCATGACGCCCAAGATGCTGCCGCCGCCGGCTCTGGCCACGAAAGCGGCCACGAAAGCGGCGGCGGCGGCATCGGCGACGGCGACGACGGCGACGACCGTTGCCGCCTTGACGACGATGACTGTACCTGCGGCGCTGCTGTCGACTACCGCTTACCCTAGCTTGGCGAGCAGGAGCACAGACTCCATGGACTTAGGAGGAGGAGCGGCGGCTGCGGCATCGTTGGCATCAGCAGCG